GCAGGAATAACAAGTATGGGAGATAGGAAGTAGAGAGGTTTTGGTGGTTTGGGTTGGGGTTTTTTTTCTAAGCCCTTTAAATAGCAAAGGGGCTGGTCTAGACTCTTGTGGTCCAGCCTTATCCTTCAGAAGATTTATAGGCACAGATGTTTGACTGGTTTACTCCTGGAAGCACTGGAGACACCAGCTCCAGATTTACTGGCTCACAGTTGGTTGGGAGCCAGCCAGGCAGTCCATCCAGAGCTCCATCCCCCAGAGCACAACACCTTCTCACCCCTGTGGGGCTGGACTTCCTTGCAACAGCAGAAGGTGCAAAGACACATGATGTGAAACCTCTGCTGTTTCAAGAGCAACCCAGACAGGACCCAGCAGGAGCAAGGACCAGGAGCTTGGGCACAAGTCCCAAGCAAGGCAAGGGCTACCAACCCACACCTGAGAGAGATCTTCCCCCTCTGCCCACAGTTTCTGGCTTCCAGAGAGAAAACATTTGGCTGCTTGCCAGGAAGTACCTTCAAAATTCAGATCCCAGGCCAAATTACTTCTAAATTCAGGATTCAAGTCTCAGTAATTATCCAGAAGGGGACACATGGGGCCAGAATTGGATTCTCACACAGCTGCAGTCCTCAGCTCAGACCATGGGCTGGTCTCTGGGGGGATTAGTAATTAATGAGATAACTGTGATATTTGAGAAGGCTCTCAGGGGAGATCAAGGCTCAGCAGCACACGGGAGAGAAAAAGCTCTAGGAATAAACCTGCTGTGATGAGGTTTATTGTCAAGGTTTTCCAGAACCTGAATTAACACCAAAGCAAATTCATTTCTTACATAGGCTGGAAAATTTTGCAGCTCTTCACATCTCCTGGGAGGAGAATCTCAGCTTTTATTTCTAACACTTAGCTCACACCATGTCTGGTCTGCCCACAAATCTCAGACCAGTAAGTGGGATTTCCAAGGAAACACTGCAGACATTTGAAAACTTTTAAATGGAAAGGAAAAACAATGGTCAGATCACAATGCACCCTGTTGGTGTCAGTGACTTGTCACACATAGGGTTAAAGAGCAGCACCTCATTTTAAATTTAAATTTGCCCACTTTCAGTTTTCCATCATTACCAAAAGGCTGCCAGTTTACAAAAGGGCAATACCTGCCCTTCCACATCTGAAAATACTTCAGCCTGGAGAAAACTGAAGCAGGCTGCAGCTGCTCCCTCACAATCCCCTCTTTGCTAGATGAGAAACACTCCACAGGTACAGCACAGAATGCTCCTTACTTGCCAACACCTGTAAACTAATCAGTGCAGGTTACACACTGACATTTTCCCCACTAAATCTTGCTCTCTCCAGCCAGACACAGGCTGGCACCTGCTTGCAGGATTTATAGCAAAGTATCATGAATCAATAGCAAAAAGAAACAGGTACCTTAAAGTTTTGTCTCTTGTTCAGATCAATGTGGTATCAGAGTAAGAGGCATTTTATGTCCTATTAAATCATGCTTGACTACGTCCCATTAAATCATGCATCTAAAACACTTAAGTTTTTTGAGAGGCTGGAGAAAACCTCCTAATGTACAGGATCAGGTTTAATCTAAGGGCCTGACAGCTCTCCTTGGGAAGTGTCACTTGTCCCTAAGGGAGGATTACTCCATTCTTTGCCCAAGGCTCAGACATGTCTTCTTTCACATCAGAAACAGACCAATGTCTGTCACAGACTCCAGACCCAGCACAACCCTCTGCCCAGCACATCCATGGAGCAGGTCCCAACATCCTCCCCACCTGTCCAGAAGGGCACCAGGCAGGTAGATGGGCACAGAGGCCACCACACACCTGGGCTGGGGACACTGCCACCTTTCTTGAGCCTGAGACCTTTACAAGAAGCCCAAGTCTGCAAGCAGAGGGACACTGCCACCTTTCTTGAGCCTGAGACGACCTTTACAAGAAGCCCAAGTCTGCAAGCAGCAGAAAGTGCAAGAAAAAGCATGAAAAAAATAAAAATCAAACTAACAGAGGAAATTTTTTACTGTGAATCCTTTGCTGTGACTGCTCCATGCAAGGAGCCAAACAGACACCAGTGAAGGATGAGAGGGAGAGATGAGGGAAGGGGAAATATGGCTGAGTTTATGCTCATCAGGCCATATTAATCAAGTCAGCCAGTTTCAAAGCTCAAAAAGAAAAGAAAAGACTCAAGTTTTGCTACTACACATGCTTGTCTGCTGCAGAAGCCTGCCTATGTATCCTCTGATCATTTGTTTTATGCTCAGCACACAGCTGTAAATCTGCTCTTCAGTGCAGCAAGTGAGATGAGGATGTTTATTGGCTCAGTCACAGAAAAGGGATATCACATCATCTTCTGCTTCATGATCCCACAGCAGAGAAATAACCTGGCATCACAGCAAGCACTCCTGGAGCTCACAGAGGCCAAAAGTGGCAAGTACCATTTAAAGAACAACTTTGTGCTCAGTGGCTTAAAATCATTCACTCTGTTCCTCAATTAATACATAACAACTGCCTTCTGGGGCACAGGGTGAGATCCATCAACCACCCAAAATCACACTGTCCAGCACCAGGAACTAAAAGTCAAACTCAGAGGGGCTTTCTGCACCTTCACTACCCCAATACATTTGTCAGCACCAAGTGCAGCTTATGACCAACCTGGAACATGGAGTTCTCCAGGACAAAAGAGGCACCCACTTGTCTGATCCTTCAGCTCCACATCAAAGCACAGAGCTGATGATGGACTTGTGTGCCAATGGTGTGACCTGACACACCTTTGTG